GTAAGAACTTAAAAATACGCCAAGCCTCTACTAGTCTAGGGTAGGCCTACTCCTGACTCCAGACGAGTCCTGATCCATCCTCCTGGAAAGTTTTGTTGTATTTGTATGGTATGCCATCGAAAATACATGCCATCTAGTCTAAGCTTAATTGTTTTTGCCATTGCCAAAATTAGTCTTACTATGGTCTATTCTAAATATTTTAGGCCCGTTTTATTAGGGAGGACTATTTAAATTTAGTCATGCCTAACTAATCGACGCGAGTGACTCAGTTTCGTGGCTTCAAAAATATGAACATTTGATTGGTTGAAATTGTTTATTTCGGTTCGCCCATGCGCCTGCATTCAGTGTTTTACAAGTCGCTTATTCCGTCTATCTCTAAATTAACTTTCTCGTTGGTGGCGCTGTCCAGAATGGGAAAAATAATAAAAAAATAAGAGACTTGTGGCAAGTCTATAAGCAATGCTCCACTCATCAAAATGTTTGCGAATTATTTCAATATTAGTTGGTCGATCTGGAATTTTTACAATGACTACGGCTTTGGAACCGTTGACAGTTATCGGTTGGAATTTTGGCCAACTAATGATACCAGCGATTTAGTTGTTCTAAATGTTACAGTAGGCACCGAAACGAGCATAACGTGCGCAGATATGAACTACAACACGGAATACAGTTTCACAGTAAAGGTTCTTACTGTGGTCGACGGTGTATTACTTGTTGGAAAGGCTAGTCCGCTGGCATTTCATCAGATATGTAAGTATTGTACATAACCCTGCAGGCATATTACGGTCACGTTACGTCATCTGTATACAACGCATATAACGCATTAAATATATTTGTTTTTGGTAATTTAATACCATAAATAGCCATGTTTATTCATATTTTGTTTTAATGTAAACGTGTTTGAGTAAGACTAATCATTATGTAGTGTTTTGTTTTAAACTGGTATATTGTTTTATCGGACATGAATAAAATGTCCTTGGACTAACACTAGGCTATGCAGATCACAGTTAATGAATCGCAAAACACAACTCCCCTAGTACGAGATATTGTCAACACACGTTTGGCACTATTTGTGAGAAAATGGCCTCTACTTACACACCGTTCTTGCACTATTAAAAGTTTATGTAAAAATCCGATCATATTATGTAGCAAATCAACATGAATGTTGTAAATTAATATATTATTTTCTGTACTGGCCTTTTCGTGTTAATACACAACAAAACATCGTATATTTACTTTGTTGTAGGTATACAAAAATACACCGACTTTTATGATTTTGCATAGCTCCTTGTACTTTTTTTTGTTAATTAACAACAGTTGTGTTGTACCTTACAAACTTTGTCCACGTTTTTATCACGCTTGTTGTTTGTGTACGACAATATACTTTATATTTACTGAATGTTGTAGAAAGGACATTTCAATAGTTTCTTAAAATTCTTGTTAATTTACAGTTTGCTGTAATATAAGCTATACTATAAAAATACTGATAATTATGATTAATAATATTGTGGGGTTTGGTAAAAGCGTCCTCGTCGCCAATTCAATCACCACCACACAGTGGACACGATAAGAAGATAATTAATATTTTTAATATAATTATGGTTATTATTGTATGTCACCACCATTGTGATTGTTATTATCACCTTCATGGACATTATCATTGCAATTATATTTATTATTTATTATCATAGATATTGTTATTGTTATTGAAAATTGTTATAATTGCTGCGAAGCAGCCAATTCATATTCTTAACAGCAATTTGACCTCTGAAAGGTCATTGTTTGTCAAAAAACAATGGCCTAAGACGACTGAAAAGCGGAGTTTCCTTCTTTCGTTCTGCCGGGTAAAATCAATTACTTTAGGCGACGTTTGCAGACTAACCTACACGTACCAACGTCCGCATGTGGCGACGCTCGAGTATAACTATTCAGCGTTTTTACTATATTTCTAGGTTCC